CTTTGTAGCAAGTGTTACAGACAGACAGACACAGGTGAATTTCGGTTTCTAGACCCTATCCTTTCAGTCTAGGGAAAATTTTTATCCAATATATCTACACAAATGTGTAATGAATATATGAAACAAACACAAAAAGACTTGCTAAAGAATGTATCGGTTATATATGTAGTAGTATAACAGAATGTGTATAAGTTGACTGTATCAATGATACGTCATTATCAGTTGATCAATTAGTAAATTTGTTTGCTTTTATATAACGCGAAGACTCATTGTTCTTTCCAATAAGGGCAATGTACTTTCGGATATTTGGTTATGTATGCATTCAAAGGAATTTAAGTTATTTGAAAGATCCACAAATGTCGTTAAAACTGTTATTCTTTGTATCACCAAAACGACATCACTAATTAAATAATCTTATGTAACTAAAGTGTTATTTGATATTATGAATGTGTTATAAGCACTAGCCTTGCTGTGTCAACCATGTTAGGAATCCATTTTTAGATAATCTTATTTTTCTTGACAAGAAAATGTAACATGAAATTTCAGTCCATCAGGTACAAAAAGAAGAAATCTTTTTTCTTTTGAATTTCACATAGAAAGTTTGTTTACATCATAATGTGTATATTTTTTATTATCCAATTAAATAAGTAAAAGCATTGGATAAATACAAACTTTTAACAATTTCCCCATCCATTGAGTCCAAGACGAGTACGAATATCTCGTAATTGACCATTACTTATTTCTCTAACTTGTACATGTAAATGAACACCAGTTGAATAACCTGATGTACCCATTAAACCAATTTTTTGTGCACGTGCAACACGTTGTCCAACAGATACAGCAATTGAACCCGATGTCATATGACAATAAAGAACTTTAACAGTATTATGTTGAATTTCAACATAATTACCACATTTTCCACATTTACTTTGATCAAAATCACCAGCACCATTACAAACACCAATGACTGTTCCATCCCAAATAGTATATAAATTAATACGTTTAGCACCATAAGATCCAATATCAACTCCTTCATGACCTGCATGATATCCTTGTGTTACACATGCTTCACTATATGGAACAGGTGGAAAATGTTCTTGACCACATACTAAATATATATGATCGAGATCATATTCATGTATACTTTTCTATTAATTTTAAAGTAAAACTAACCTATACTGATAATAATGGTAGCAATGATCAAAACACGAAACATGATAATAATTAATAATTTTATACTCAAAAAAAGGGATATTTTTATCTGAACTGAAAACTAAACGATTTTATATATTAAGATTATTGTAAGAAGGTATGTATACAGAAAACAAAAATAACATCTGTTACATGATTATACTATAGATAACATATGAGAAATATGACAAATGGTATTCATTTTTGTTTTAATCGAGCAATATTTGAATAGAAAAAAATCGCTCTAATTTACATTTGAGAATTTTAATTAAATTATTGTACTTTTTTTTTTTTCTAAACTTAATTCATTTTTTTATTGTTTTTGAACATGACTTTATAAAATACTGTTAGCTACCGAGCGTGACAATAGTTTTAGGAACATTATAAGACTTTGATATTTTTTCAACAAATGTACCGTTATATGTTGTGCTCGGATCACGAAACAAAATCTTTATAGCTGTTTTTAACATTTTAATAGACTGCTAACATTAAACTAGTCTATCATTGTGTTAATTCCCGCAATAAAAATTCGTAAAAGCTCATTGTGCCATTGACAACTAAGATCATTTTTAATAAAATCTATGCTAGATAAAATGAACTGTCCCATGCGATGTAAAAAACCAAAATGTTAATCCCTACATCATAACTT